CAGCTTTTCGCTTGCCCTTCCATTGGACTGATTACACATGTGATTCAGAGCGTGGTCACGCTGGGGGCGTTCCCGTAGCGTTTCGACGCAGCGTCTTGTTCCTTTCGGGGAACCATGGTTACATATGTAACCTGGAGACGTTTTCTTCTCAAGTGTAAATCTAGCTAGTATGAGACTATCATTATACACAGTTTATAAAGTGAGAGAATTTCCTCTTCCTGTATGGTAAATGTCAAATTCTGAGCCTCATAAGATAATCACGTGTATTGAATAGGCCTGTCAAAATTATACAGGTGGTTAAATGTTTAACACATTTATTTATTTATTTATTTATTTATTTATTTATTTATTTATTTTAAAGCTCTTAAGGCATTTATTCAATATGACATGGGCCAAAATAACTGACCCTCCTTTATACATAGTCTCTTATATGCATTGCACACATACATTTGCAAGTGTTATTCACCTAAAATCGCTGAAACCAATTGCCAAACACTTTTTTTTCCTGAAAAAGTAACTGAATGCACTAACATGTTAATTAAAGGGAAGTTAAAAAAAGTTATGAGATTAATTCTGATTAAATGTGTTAATTGTTTGACATCCATGTAGTATTGCTGCATATTATTGTCTTGTGTGTAGTCTGAAGAAGGAGTCAAAGGGTGTATTCACACCAGGAAAGTCCGCTAGTTCACTTGCTTTGGTCCGGACCAAATACAATGTTGATTTTGTAAACAAAACCACACGTGAGCTAAGGTCATCCATTCATTGGGCAGAAATTCTCAAGCAGGGAAAAGCAGGAAGTTCAAAAACAGACTAATCATGGAGATCTTTCGTAGCGCAATTTTTATTCTTTTACTGGTTTGGTGTTATCAGCTACTAATGCAATATGAGGAAACTTTTGAGCATCATATGAGACAATGTCATCTATACAATATTGTAATTAGGATTTTGTGAAGAAAAAGATGTGCTGCAAGACGGTTCCGGCGGAGAGAGCATGCTCTTATGTGTGCCTACTATGGCATGCTGACAGTGGCACTGCGCAGAAGACGGATTAGGTATAAAGTTTAGGTGTTAGGCATAACACAACACTTTCCCATAATGCACCTTCGACTATGGGAGGCTGTTAACATTACAAAAAGGCGCAGTGCTTTCTGCAATTGGGTCGGATCGAGGTCGGGTCATGTTCACACCTTAAATGAACCATACCAGAGTTCGTTTGGAACCAGACGGAGATCACCTCTTCAGCTGGGTCTCGGAACAGTTGTTTGGTCCGCACCCGAGTGCGCCAGTGCTCGGAGCTCCTTGTCGCCGCGTAACGCTAGCGACAGATCCCTCACTGGCTGGGGTGCGGTCATGAGAGGCCACCCTGCCCGCGGTCTGTGGAGCGATCGCCATCTCACCTGGCACATCAACTGCCTGGAGATGCTGGCCGTATTTCGAGCTTTGAAGCACTTCCTCCCGGACCTAAGAGATCGCCATGTGCTAGTGTGCACCGACAACATAGCGGTGGTCTCTTATATCAACCACCAAGGAGGTCTGTGTTCGTGCCCCTTGTACAAGCTGGCGCACCAGATCCTTGTGTGGTCCCAGGGCAAAATCCTTTCATTGAGAGCAGAACATATTCCTGGGCATCTGAATATAGAGCAGACATCCTGTTGAGGCAGGGGCAGAGGCCCGGGGAATGGAGGCTTCACCCCAAGGTGGTGAAGCAGATATGGAGAATTTTTGGCCAGGCTCAGGTGAACCTGTTTGCGACTCGAGAGACATCGCACTGTCCCCTCTGGTTCTCTCTGACTCATCCAGCTCCACTGGGGCTGGATGCTATGGTACAGACTTGGCCGAGGCTTCGTCTGTATGCCTTTCCCCCGATCGCTCTGCTCCCG